GCAAGGGGGATGGAGGATAGAGACACCCACCGATGATGGGGGGCGTGGGGGGGCACCGAGAGTCACCCGGGGTCACGTAAACATTTCCTCTGGAGAAAAGGGGTCGCAAGTGGAAAAAGTTTAAGAAGGCCAGTTCTAGATGAGTGACTTGCAAAGGGAAGTCACCAAGAGCAACAAGATCTTCTGCAACCACTTAGACCAACCCTGCAGTTCTGTAGAACAATTTGTCCCTATTGGGAGAAGAGTAGGATGCATTCAGTAGTTTAGCTAAATAAATTGGACACGGCTGACACCATTCAGTCCACAAAAATACAATTTGGGCTTCATATATAAAAATGTCCTCGACTGGGTTAGCACTATCTAGGGATGCTAGTGCCATGTGAATGGAATCCACCCATCTACTGTATATGGCGGCAGAAGTGTTACTAATGAAGCCCTTTCCAAGATCCTATAGTGCCAGTATTTATTATTATGTAGCTTGCACTTACGAGTCCCATTGCTTCACCCTTAGCAGACTATTGGTGGAATCCTGTAGCCGACAACACGCAGCTATGTATGTGCTTTAGCACTATAGTTTGAGTACACTTCCAGAGGGAAGTTTTTTCAAGTTCTACGACCAGGGGACACCACCAGATGCAATCCTAGAAAGCACTTGTTTGGCAAAAGCAGCTAAAGACACTGAGAACCAACCACAAAAACAACTATCAGTGGGACAATCAACCATAGGCAGTGTACACAAGGCTGGACGAAGCACACAGTTCAATAACGTGTGGGCAAGTTGGAGCGCTGTTCCCATATCTGTCATCAGTATTCTTAAAGGAGAAGTATTGGGAGAGTAAAATGTATTCTTCCCAATACTTAGAGCCAGCGTGGTACACTGCAGATATGGGAAGTCGGCTCTATAGATCGAGAACTGAGTGATCACGAACCGCTGATCACTCAGCTCTCATGGTCTTCTCTCTGCAGAGGGTGGGGACTATCAGTTACTGCTCCCAGCAGGGATTCCCCCCTCTCCGTTCCTCCAGTGCTCATTGCAGGGACAGACAGGGGAGGGGCGGGCACAGCTGGCTCTGGCTCTAGAGAGGCAGAGCCAACTGTCAATCAGGCAGCGGGGTGGATCCCGTCAATATAGCTGGGATCCTTCATGGGTGCAGCCCGTACTCAGCAGAAGCCCATTATATGCTGAGTTTTGATTCTCCCATCCACACTAAGCAGTGTAGATGGAGAAACCTCCCCTGCCGGTCTATAAGTTCTGACAGCCGGCGCCTGTAGATGTCAGAATACCTGAACATACCTGCAGCTGATTGCCTGTAATCACCAATCGGCCGACAATTTGTGACCCAGCTACTGTGGCAACAGTCAGTTTAACAATCGACTTTTGTTGGAGTGATGGTAACAGGGCCAACCACAGACCCGCAAGACTTGGCTTTAGGCTGCACATAGACATCAGATAGCAGTCTGAACAAACAGATCTGCATTCAAGAAAAATCACTCATATGGGAAGTCTATATTAGACAAAAAAAACAAAACTGAAAAGGTTTGTCTAATTTCCATCACATGAATTATCTTTTCACATCTTACTAAACTCAGCAGTTAAATCTTAAAAATACATTCAAGTAACTTAACTATTAACAAAAATGTATCTTATTTGTGTATCATCCAGCTTTAGATCCTCAAATCATCTCTGAATCCATGTTGACACTGTCCTTCCTTCTGGAAGGGGGCTACTTTTGTTCCTCATTGTCCCTGTGTGTGTTGTAAAGTAGTCACCGCTCCAAGCTCGCTCCTGTGATGGACTACAATCTCATGTTTAGTTTACTAATTTATATTGAGATTGTAGTCCATCACAGGAGTGAGCTTGGAGCGGTGACTACTTTACAACACACACAGGGACCATGGGGAACAAGTAGCCACCCTCCAGAAGGAAGGACAGTGTCGGCACCAATTCAGAGATGAAACAGCCGAGTGATACACAAATAAAATACATTTTTATTGACAATTAAAGTATTTGAATGCATTTTTAAAACTCTTAAATCTTGTGTGTAACTGTGTCTCCTGAGTATAACTCCTGAGTTTAGATTGTACAGAGCACACACGCTCATCTCCTGTCCCTGCAAGCATCAGTTTTTATTATTATTATTATTCAGTATTTATATATAGTGCCAACAATGTACAAGATATGAGGAGCCAGTAGAGTTCCAATAAGAAGAGGGTTAGAAGGACTTAGCTGGCTCCTGTCTGTGTTCTTTGAATAAACAAATAAAAGAATATTGTGTTTCTCGGTTTTTGTTTCCATTCCTCAATGTATCAGAAAGCTACTGTTAATGGAAACATTGTTGGCACAGAAGGATGGACATACAGAAGATCTCTCCCTAGTTTAGTGACCTCTGTCCTCCTGAACAATGCCAGAAGTGGAAAGATTCTGGATCGGTGCCCTATTGTAACCCACAAACCTAAATCCCCCTCCTAGTAGTCACCCCAACACTATCCATATACATTCTGAGCTTGTTCCAGATACTGCTTCCTCCTTCTTCTATGAATCTCTAAGCAGAGCACACAGTAATGGTCATGTCCTGGCCATGTCCAGGTCATGCCCCCCACCCCCTGCTGTGCCCTCCTGCCATGCACCCCAATGACCCCCCCTTTAGTGTCACCTCTGATCGCTCCTCTCTGTACAATGCCAGGCGTTGTCACGATCTCCCCCAAGGCTTGCTCCTGTGTTGACAGCCCGGACTCTGTGGCTGCCCTCCCTCTTCCTTTTTATCTGGTGACCTCAGCAGCGCAGCCTCTGAAGGAGGGGAGAGGGTCCGGTCTTCGAACTGATCACAGGAGGGGGGGGGGCATGATCCGATCACAATCACAGCAAGACCTGGTACAGATGCACACAACAGAAGCAATACAGAACGGATTCCGTCTCACTTTCAGCCAGCTAGCTCACCTATACAAGATAGAGACACCGGGTCTCCCTACAGTCCCACAATACACAATTCAAGGCCAGGCAATTCTTCTAAGCTGCCCCCACCTCCCCGGGGGGGTATCAGAGGGGAGATCGGGGGCAGATCTGAGGTAGGACAGGCTATGCCTTGCTCCGATCCGTCATGCTCCGGGTCTACTTACCGGCACCGGGAGAAGCAGGACGAGAAGAGCCCCGGTGTTCTTGATGCAGTGTCCGGGCCGCGCATGCGCAGTGCGGGCCGATGCCGGGATAATGCTCCGAGCTGCTGATGCTACCAGGCGGAGGGGAGAAGCAGATGGAGAAGGCTGAGCCTGGCGGAGGGAGGTCCGAAGGCTCCGGGCAGGGGGCAGGCTCTGGCTGTGTGTGTGGGTAGGAGGGGGCGGGGGGTCGCCGCTGTCACTTGTGGCTTTGCCTCTGTTCACACCATTGCAGCTGTAGAATCGTACGTATGCATCTCCATGGCTCAGTAACAAGGATAGCTTCTGGCTGTGTCCGGGGTGCCTGCAAATGTTACTGTGATGTGAAGGGGAGCACTCTGATATGAAATAAGGGGCTCTGATGTGAAGGGGGTCCTCTGATGTGCAGGAGGTCCTCTAATGTGTAGAAGTGTAATTATACAGGATATATACAGAGCCAACAGTTTGCGCAGCGCTTTACAATATATGGGGGGGCTCTGATGTTAAAGGAAGGAGAAGTGGTTTTAGCTGTGTCAACAGGTTCGTACTGAGTGCAACCTTGGGTGGTGCTACTGTCTGGATATTCCAGGAACTTATACTTTAAGCATGGAGTGCGATGAGGTAAGTATAAAGGGGTTTTTCTACCTCCGGGATGGAGAGTGGTGTGGTGCCACATTGCTTGAATGCTGAGTAGCCAGCTAGAGAGGGGGGCTCTGATGTGAACTGAAAGAGGATGACTCTAATGTGAAATGGGGGGA